GCCTACAAGAGTGTCCCAGAAGAGTGTCCCACAAGAGTGTCCTACAAGAGTGTCCCACAAGAGTGTCCTACAAGATTGTCCTATAAGAGTGTCCCACAAAAGTGTCCAACAAGAGTGTCTCACAAGAGTCCCACAAGAGTGTCCCACAAGAGTGTCTCACAAGAGTGTCCCACAAGAGTGTCCTACAAGAGTGTCCTACAAGAGTGTCCCACAAGAGTGTCCTACAAGAGTGTCCCACAAGAGTGTCCTACAAGAGTGTCACAAAAGAGTGTCTCACAAGAGTGACCCGCAAGAGTGTCCTACAAGAGTGTCCTACAAGAGTGTCTCACGAGAGTGTCCCACAAGAGTGTCCCACAAGAGTGACCCACAAGAGTGTCTCACAAGAGTGTCCCACAAGAGTGTCCTACAAGAATGTCCCACAAGAGTGTCTCACAAGAGTGTCTCACAAGAGCGTCCCACAAGAGTGTCTCACAAGAGTGTCCCACAAGAGTGTCCCAGAAGAGTGTCCCACAAGAGTGTCCTACAAGAGTGTCCCACAAGAGTGTCCTACAAGAGTGTCCTACAAGAGTGTCCCACAAGAGTGTTCACAATGTCCTATAAGAGTGACCCGCAAGAGTGTCCTACAAGAGTGTCTCACAAGAGTGTCCCACAAGAGTGTCCCACAAGAGTGACCCACAAGAGTGTCTCACAAGAGTGTCCCACAAGAGTGTCCTACAAGAGTGTCCCACAAGAGTGTCCTACAAGAGTGTCCCACAAGAGTTTCCTGCAAGATTTTCCTGAAAGCGTGTCCCACAAAAGTGTCCCACAAGAGTGTCTCACAAGAGTGTCCCACAAGAGTGTCCTACAAGAGCAACCTACAAGAGTGTCCCACAAGAGTGTCCTACAAGAGTGTCCCACAAGAGTGTTCACAAGAGTGTCAGAGTGTCCTACAAGAGTGTCCTACAAGAGTGTCACAAAAGAGTGTCCTACAAGAGTGTCCTACAAGAGTGCCCCAGAAGAGTGTCCCAGAAGAGTGTCCTACAAGAGTGTCCCACAAGAGTGTCCTACAAGATTGCCCTATAAGAGTGTCCCACAAAAGTGTCCCACAAGAGTGTCTCACAAGAGTGTCCCACAAGAGTGTCCCACAAGAGTGCCTCACAAGAGTGTCCCACAAGAGTGTCCTACAAGAGTGTCCTACAAGAGTGTCCCACAAGAGTGTCCTACAAGAGTGTCCCACAAGAGTGTCCTACAAGAGTGTCCTACAAGGGTGTCTCACAAGAGTGTCCCACAAGAGTGTCCCACAAGAGTGTCTCACAAGAGTGTCCCACGAGAGTGTCCCACAAGAGTGTCCCAGAACATTGTCCCACAAGAGTGACCCACAAGAGTGTCCTATAAGAGTGTCCTACAAGAGTGTCCCACAAGAGTGTCCTACAAGATTGTCCTATAAGAGTGTCCCACAAAAGTGTCCTACAAGAGTGTCCTACAAGAGTGTCCCACAAGAGTGTCCCACCAGAGTGTCCCACAAGAGTGTCTCACAAGAGTGTCCCACAACAGTGTCCTATAAGAGTGTCCCACAAGAGTGTTCACAATGTCCTATAAGAGTGTCCCGCAAGAGTGTCCTACAAGAGTGTCCCACAAGAGTGTCCCAGAACATTGTCTCACAAGAGTGTCCTACAAGAGTGTCCCACAAGAGTGTCCCACCAGAGTGTCCCACAAGAGTGTCTCGCAAGAGTGTCCCACAAGAGTGTCCTATAAGAGTGTCCCACAAGAGTGTCCTACAAGAGTGTCACACAAGAGTGTCCCTGACCCGCAAGAGTGTCCTACAAGAGTGTCCTACAAGAGTGTCTCACAAGAGTGCCCCACAAGAGTGTCCCACAAGAGTGACCCACAAGAGTGTCCCACAAGAGTGTCCCACAAGAGTGTCCCACAAGAGTGTCTCACAAGAGCGTCTCACAAGAGTGTCTCACAAGAGTGTCCCACAAGAGTGTCCCAGAAGAGTGTCCCACAAGAGTGTCCTACAAGAGTGTCATGTGGACCTGTGTAGTTTTTCGAACGTGTTTACATTCGGGTTCGTGGGTTCCATCTTGTGTATAATCAATACTGTGTATGATATGTGTACTGTGTATATATATATATGTAAATTTCACAACTGTATTTTCCATACAGTGAATTCACCTATCATCACATGGTTTATGTAAAAGGCAGCAGTTTGCATGGACATGATCAAACTGATGAACATGATATGCCTCCTCAGCTTGCAGGCAGCACAACAAGCAGCCGCTGCAGCCGCTGCTTCTTCAAGTGTTCCTTGGCCTTTACTTCCAATCATTCAATAAAGTCATTGACTTGGACAAAAAACAATCGCATCAACAAACTAATTGTGTCCTCTTGATGTCCTGGAATCCAGGAAGC